CTCTCCATCCCCGCCCCCATCCCCGAACCAATCCCCGTTTAATTAGTTTCGGGGAATCCCCGTCCCCGTCCCCGTCGGGGGACTATCCCCCATACCCGACCCGAATCCCCGATTTTTTTTGCATAAAAAATATTTATCATACATTTTAACCTTAAGTTTCATATTAAATTATCATTCAACACATTCAAATTAACTATAAAGTTCAACTCAACTATTCAAAATCACATCAATATGAAAATCCAGAGAAGATTAGGAAGAATTAGGAGAGGGAGGTTAACTTAGGGTTAAACATAAATATTATAATTATATATTTATTTATTTAAATATAAACATATACATTTTCGGGTCGGGTTCGGGGATGGGGACGCCAATACCATCCCCTCCCCATACCCGTTGGGGATTTTTCAAGTTCGGGGATCCCCGTACCCGATACCCGTTTGGCCCCGAAATCTCCCCCCGTTAGGGTCGGGGACCCGACGGGGACCCGTCCCGCGGGGCTTTTTGCCATCCCTAGCTTCATTGAATAGTGTTGGGTCCATGCAATACTTGGACCCATATTTGGGTCCAAATTTGGATTTTCCCAAATTTTGGGTCATTCATTTTGTTGGGTTGGGGGAGATTTGAGGCAATATTTTGGGTTTGGGTCCTTGCATTGGAGATGGCCTGAGAGGGCAAGAAGATGAACGGCTCGATCTCGATGACCCTTCTTTCTTTGACAGCTTCCACTTCTCATCGAAGTAGAAAGGCGGTGGATGGTGATGAGAACTTGTAGTGGCGGCAGTAGCAGACAGAGAAGCCATAAACAAAAGAAAGAATGGATTTTGTTTGGAAATTGAAAGGTGGGTGCTTTAAAGTTGATATCTTTGATCTCTTGGGTGCTTTGGCTTTGGCTTTGATTAACAAAGAAAGAGAAAGACAGAACATAGCAAGTGAGAATTTTTTTTTTTTAAGGGATTTCAAGTTTTAAAATTTATTTTATTTTATTTACAGCCACGTGCCTTTATACCATTGGATGTGTGGGCTCCACACATGTGCTACGTCAGTAATTTAATAGAAAATTTGACGGAAGGTAGCAGCAGGGACCATTTTGATGTGTGGAGGATAACGTTAAGGACCATTAGTGTCACAAAAAAACATTAGGGACGAAAGTTGATAATTTTGCAAACCTCAGGGACCATTTGTGATAAAAAGCCTTCAAAATTTAATGCTAATTATCTTTGGTTCCTAGGTTCCATTAACCCTTTTTTCTTTTAACAAAAAAATAACAATGCTTCTTGTTCAAAATTAATCAATTATAGTTAGTAAAATGTGTTTATATCTGATCGAGTAGATTCAGCATACTATAGTGAGAACGAACCGCTTACTTACTGAAGGAGGAGCAAGGAGAGCCATTGAGGACCTCTAAGCCGATTTGATAGGTCAAAATGATCAATTTCGCACAAATGTTCAGTCACGAATTGGTAGGTGCATACCAACCGAACATATAAACGTATAAAATATGTATGTGTACTATAGAACATAGGAAAATTACTTCTGCATATTTTTCTTTTTAATATAAGCAATATTGGAGGAAGGAGATTCGAACAAACAATCTCGAATTCAATTACAAACCCCTTGTGAAATGCTTTTATACATAATTCACAATGTTTTTAAGTTCCTATATGACTTTCACTAGGTAACAATTTCAAGAAAAATCAAAACAAGAAACCTTTGATTAAAAAAGCAAAAAAGGAAAAAGAAAAAAAAAAGCTATTCAACCTTGGCTAATGAAAAATAAACATATGTTAATTTGGGTGCACAAATAACACAAAGCATATGTTAATTGTCGCGCATTCCTCATCCTAAATTGGTCCAATGCGCCCCTATTCAGGTCATGAAGTTATTTTACTTGTCATGCCTTCACGATGATGCATTGTTCTACATTCAAATTAGTGTGAATTCATTCATGAACTATCAACTCAAATATAAACATGAGTCTCTAATTCATAAAGACTTGGCGAGTAGGTAAACACTGGTAGGCGCACGTGTCAATACAATTCAACTTTTCAAAAACAGATTAAAAACACAGAGTATAGCCGCCCGGCTGTACTATTTTTTAATTTAATAAAAAGTTTATATTAAAAGGGCCCTCCAGCGATTAGACGCCACGTGTCACTATACTATTTTTTGGAAGA